CGATGATGCTGGCATCATGGTGAGCACCTTGCCCTCCTCTCTCTCCCTCTCTCTGCAACTGCCTGGCCTCCACATCGTACGGCGTGCTGACACCCTACACAGGCTAAGATGATCTACGCCTCTTCCAAGGAGGCTCTCAAGCGCTCCCTGACCGGTCTTGCGACCGAGCTCCAGGCCAACGACCCCGACGACATTGAGTATGACAGCATCATCAAGACCGTCAGCAAGGGTCTTGCCGCATAAACGTGTCGTTCCCCCGCACCCCCCTCACACACACTTGCCGGCACCGTATCTTGGAGCTTTTTCTTAACGCGAAGACGGAGAGCATATACTCTTTAGCGACTACCGTCCTCAGAGACGAATGATGACCCAATGACGGAGAGGTTGACTGTTGCAATCGCGAAAAGGGAAGGATGAAATGTTAGTCTGCCGGGGGAGCCCCTGATGGCTGTTGTCGCCGTCTCCGCTCGCGTATACCCACGTACTCGACCGGGCGGGCCCAGACAGACCCAGGGATTGGCCCCGGATCATGTTTTTTTCTCTTGGACCGCGACAAGGCTTGATTTCCAGATCTGATGGTCCTCCGTCTGGCTGTGCTGTTTCATTTTTCACGGTACTCCATAAGGAAAATATCACACACTGGGATGTAAACACGATATCTCGCTGTCGTCGCCACACTTTGTCGCGGTGGTTCTTGTCATTCTCGTGTTCTCATTTGATGCTCAATGATCGCTGTCCCTCTCCCGCCGTAGCTATGAACGCCCCCCCTCCTCTCACACATGCTCCAAGTGTCCTCCCTGCCGTTGTCTACCTCTTGCTTGCCCAGTCGGCGTGCCATGACGTGGCCAGCCTCTCAGCCTCGGCCTCATCCTTGAGCCTCTGCATCAGGAACCCCTTGAGATCCGTCCAAAAGGCTTCCGTCCCGAGCGCCGCAGCACCCGTAGCCTCGCCCGCGACGCCGACGCCCGCCTCGCCGTCAGTCGGTTGCTGCTGCTGCTGCTGCACGGCCGCCGCCCCGCCAATGACCATGATGGCAAACTCGACCGTCACCTCGTCGTCGCCCGCGAGGTCCTTGAGAATCTTGCTGTCGGGCACGGGCTTCTTGCGGTGCAGCAGGCGCAACTTATCGACGGGGACGCTGGCCTTTTCGGCGACGCGGGCCTTGAGGTCGAGGACGGACGTGTTGAGGGGCTGCGAGGTGAGCTTGACGTCGATGGGCGGGTTGCGCAGCGACTTGAGGACGACGGTGACGCTGCGCTCCTGGCCCGGGGCCAGCGGCGCCGCGGGCTTGCTGAAGGCCTTGGGCATCTTGGGGAGGACGTACTGCGCGGGTCAGCATGGGGCAGGGGACGGGCCGGGAAGGGGGAGCTGGGACGGAGGAGGAGAGACGAACGGGAGGGCGCGCAGGGAAATTCTTGGGATCCTCGACATGGTCTGCGGAGAGCTTGATGGGCTTGGAGTCGAGTGTCGACAGGAACTGTCTTGCGAAAACGACCTCGGCCATGTTTGCGGTGTTCAGGGCCTGCTGCTGACGTTGCTAGTGAATGGCTGTCGGTTTATGGATGCGTTGAGTCGTTAAGAGGTTGGATCGCAAGACTGTATGTCTGTTACACGGGGGCTTCCAGACGTCACGAACATGTGCGGTTGTCTACCTCATCACTGGGAGCCAATTCTTGGATCCATCCACATTGCCCCACGTACGTAGGCACCTAGGGAGCTGCCCGCAGCGCAATGAGGGACATGGCCCAGATGGTCGAGACTCACTTAGGTAAGCAAGCCAGGGGGACGTACTGCACACAGTGTCCAAGCTCCCCATCTTATCGCAGCGTCCGTGCATCGCTATCGAGGAAAAGTTTCGGTGGGGGTCCAACTTTTTTCTGCAGCGGACAGTACTGGCTGGCGCATCTCTGGGTCGCGACCACCTGACGACAACGACGACGACACGACCCTGATATACCGCCCTCCAAAGAATCACAGGAATCATGGGTGTGCGTATATCCTCCAGTACTCAGGATTAATAGACCATCTTGGATAAGAATTGACTCGAGAAACAGGTCGGAAACCGATTCAAGAAGCAGGGACCTCCCGAGCCACTGTCGGAGGCTCACTTCGCCAAGCTCAAGAGAAAGGCTGGCCTCCCCGTCGATGAGCCCACCGAGGCACCCCAGAACAAGAGGCGACGCGCGAGCAAGCAGCAGGCCGCCGCACCGCCTGCGAAGAAGGCCAAGTCTGCCAAGGGCACCAATGGTGCGAAGGCCGACGCCGCCGTCACCCCTGCGGTGAACCCGCGCAGCAAGCCCAAGAAGGGCAAGAAGGCCAAGGTCGTCGAGGAGGAGGCCGAGCTTTCGGACGACGATGACATGGCCGACCTTGCCGCCAGCGACGACGACCTCTCTGGCCTCGACGGCGACGCTACGCTGGGCGACGATTTCCTCGGCTCTGACGACTCCGTATTCGACTCTGACGATCCCGAGCAGGAGCAGAACAAGCATGTCTTCTCTGAGGACGAGGACGACTCCGATGGCGAGGAGGCGCTGAGCCGGGCGAACCTCGAGGGTCTCTCGCGCAAGCTCGACGAGCAGGCGGCGCAGGAGGCTGAGGATGCAGCGGCTGAGCTCGAGGAGATGGGCCTGCAGACGAATATCGCCGAGACGGGCATGGTGCTTGACGACGACAATGAGGACCCCAAGAAGAAAGCCCTCGCGCCGGATCTGCACGTTCTCCGCAACCGCATGACCGACAATGTGCGCATTCTCGAGGATTTCGCCAAGCTGGCCGACCCCGGCCGCAGCCGCTCCGAGTACACGGCGCAGCTGATCAAGGACATTTGCGGCTACTACGGCTACTCAGAATACCTTGCTGAGAAGCTGTTCAACCTGTTCAGCCCGAGCGAAGCCTTCTCCTTCTTCGAGGCCAACGAAAGCCCGAGACCCATCGTCATTCGCACCAACACTCTGAGGACACACCGCAGAGACCTCGCCCAGTCTTTGATCTCTCGAGGTGTTGTCCTGGAGCCTGTCGGCAAGTGGAGCAAGGTCGGTCTCCAGGTCTTTGGTAAGTTCTCTCGTGCCGGGAGCGTTTGAGAGTGAACGACTTGCTGACGTTTTGGCTAGAGAGCAGCATTCCCCTCGGTGCCAGCCCCGAGTACCTCGCCGGCCACTACATTCTGGTACGTTCAGGCCCGCGCTGCAAGCAGTCTTGACGTGAAGACTAACCATCTCCCAGCAAGCCGCCTCTTCATTCCTTCCCGTCATGGCCCTCGGACCCCAGGAGAACGAACGCGTCCTCGATATGGCCGCTGCTCCCGGTGGCAAGACGACACACATGGCTGCCATGATGAAGAACAAAGGCTTCATTTTGGCCAACGATCCCAACAAGGCTCGTGCGAAGGGTCTGATCGGTAACATTCACCGCGTACGTTTGGCTCGTCATGGCATCCTTGACCGGCGTCACTAACACGACCTCAGCTCGGTGCGCGCAACGTCGTCGTCTCCAACTACGATGCGCGAGAGTTCCCCAAGCCCATGGGCGGTTTCGACAGGGTCCTCCTCGATGCTCCCTGTACGTGACTCGGCATGCGAACCCCTACTCCCGTCGTCCACAGCTGACGTTGATTGCACAGGCTCCGGAACGGGTGTCATTGCCAAGGATCCCAGCGTCAAGACCAACAAGACGGAACGCGATTTCATGATGCTCCCGCACATGCAGAAGCAGCTGCTCCTCGCCGCCATCGACTCGGTGAACCACAACAGCAAAACGGGCGGCTTCATCGTCTACTCGACCTGCAGCGTCACCATTGAGGAGAAGTACGTTTCCTTTCTTGCCCCTTTTCACAAGCGTCCATATACCCGACGCCCGTCTCCCTGCTCCCCTCCCCCTCGCCTTAAAAAAAAAGAAGGAACACACAACTAACGACCGTCCCCGCAGCGAGGCCGTCGTGCAGTACGCCCTCTCCCGCCGCCCGAACGTCAAGCTCGTCGATACAGGCCTCCCCTTTGGCAAGGAGGGCTTCACGTCGTACATGGGCAAAAAGTTCGACGCCTCCCTCAAGCTGACGCGCCGCTACTACCCGCACACCTACAACGTCGACGGCTTCTTCGTGTCCAAGTTCCAAAAGGTCGGCCCCACGCCCGCCAAGGCCGTCGCCGGCCCCGCCGACGCCGACCGCCTGTCCGTCGCGACCAAGAACGGCCGCCGCGGCGGCGCGCAGTCGGGCGGCTTCGACGACGACGACGACGACAGCGCCCTCGTCGACAGGACGCCCATTGGCGCTGAGGAGGGCCCCGAGACGAGCGACGACGGCTTTGGCGGCTTTGACGACGACGAGGACGAGGGGTACATGCTCAAGGCGAAGCGGAACGCCATGCGCAGGAGGGGTCTCGATCCCCACGCGCTCGACAAGGGCGCGGCGAACGCCAAGGGGGAGAAGAAGGGCGAGAACAAGACGCAGGAGGAGGACGACAAGTCGAAAAAGGCCAACAAGGCCAAGGCCGAGGCCGAGCAGCCCGCTGCCGTCGCGGAGGAGCCCGTCGTCGCCGCCGCCGCCGTAGAGGAGAAGAAGAAGAAGAAGGCGCCCAAGGGCGAGAAGAAGACGAAGAAGCCCGCTGACGAGGTCGAGCTGAAGAAGGCCGGCCTGATCACCGAGACGGCCGAGAAGGTTGTGCCCGAGACGAAGACGACGCCTGAGAAGAAGAAGGGCAAGAAGGGCAAGAAGACGGGCGGAAAGTAGATGGCCTCCGACTGGGCGGGCGGAGCGAGAGAAAAATTATGTGTGGCCGAGATCATGTGAAGCAGCGCAGCCTGGTGGTGTCGTCCCCGGCCAAAGTTATGTACCAAGGAGGTTTGGGTTTCGTAAAGAAAAAAGAAGATTTCCACACGTCCGTTGAAAAATCCATAAGTGCTTGGATCACGTCATCACATTGAAACACATCTGAGCGCCATGAATATCACAGGCAATCCTCTTCATTTCTCTGTTCGCTCGACGCATCTGCCATGCGTCAAGTCGGTAGACGCTGACCCCCTATCCTGGCGCCTCAACCCCTTCTGCCTCTGGTTCTACCACTTCGAAAAATCAACAACGCGGCTGCTTGCTGCAGCTGCACAACTTTTAAAGCCTCCTCAGTTCATAGTCGTCGTGGTTATGATGGGGGTGATAATACACAGACAGTGTGGGGAGCCGCCTCCCCACTCTATAAATCAGTAATTGAAAAAAATCATGCCAATCCGCAAAACAATGCTGTCGCGCCCAGTAAACTCCACAGCTCTCGTAAGAGCTGCAACCTCATCATGACGATCGTAACGTGTGGGGGGGGGGGGGTGTATTAAAATGCGTAGATGGGTAAATGGCAGGTTGGGTGGTCGTGGTGGTGAGTGTGTGCAAATGTAGAGGAGTTTCGCTTCGTATGTAATTCTGAGAGGGGGCGGTCGCCATTATTGCGCCGTGGTGCGCTGGTGCACAAGAAGATCGCGGATGGCCCAGCGCCAGGTCTCGCGGTTGCGGTCGGGCACGTCGAGCCACTTCTCACACTTCTTCCTCCACCGGTCTTCTTCCTCACGCTGGCGGCGCACGAATTCGGGGCCGACGTCAAACTCCTCGCCGACAAGCCAGTCGTCTTTGACATCGCTGACACGGCCGTGGCCGCCTTCGGCAGAGTCTGCAGGAGGGTCCTCGAGGTCGGGGATGTCTTTGAAAACATCGTCATCGTCGTCCAGGGCGTTGAAGCCATCCATCGTATCATTGGACTCGGACTTGGCTTTGTTCTGAGGGTCCAGCTTGAGCCAGCACATGTTCTGCGGGTCAAACACCATGCCTCCGACGACCTGAACGTTCTTGGTCCCGGTAATGTTGGTGATGAGAGCCGGGCGAGGTGTGCCAGTCTCCTTCTCGCGCGGCAGATGAGCGATGGGGGTCAGAGTCGAAGGTGAAGGCATTGGGGGGTCGAAGGCGCTGAGCGCGTTCTCGTTGCCTTCCCATCGGTGTGTTTGTGGGTTATAGAACATGCCCTTCTCGTCTGTCATTTTGTTAGTATCCCTGTCTCCGCACATTGGGAACATCGAGATCAAACTTACGCCTCGAAGAATTGTCCTTATTCATGTTGGTGATCAAATGCGGCTTGAGCTGCGGAGGCTTGCTGCGATGCTTCTTAGAGCGCACCGTCGGCTGTGGGACACCCGGGTGAAAGTTGTTTCTGCTAGAAAGCTGCGCAACACGCTGGGTCGTCAATTGTGCGAGCGGTCCATTGGAAGGAGCACGGTGAGCCAGTGACGTCTCCCGCGCGATCCTGCTGGCTGCAGTGTCGCGGGCAAAGTGTGGTGTGCTGTCAGATCGGTCGAATCTGGCTGGCGATTGAGGCACCGGTGAGGGGGTAGTGTTGCGGTCGGGCAGCACGTTCTGGTAAATCTTGTTTCGTAGAGGCGCCTTTGCTGGCTGGCAGACGTACTTGGACTCTGCCTGGCTGGACGTAGGCAGGTCGTCAAAAGCGTCGAGCTCATGCCCGTCACCAAACGTCTTGGATCGGTTCTGGTAATAGCCAGCCCGCGGTCCGCCTTGGGCGATCTGGTTAGCGCTGCGGTGGAGGCGCTGCGGACTAGGCGAGCGCATCGCGGACCGGGAGACGGTCCTAGAGGCGGGCCGGAGATCAATGGAACTGTTCGAGTCGTGACGTCGCAGTGACCGTCCCGTCTTGGCAGATATGTGATGTGAGTGCGTGGTAGATGAACCAGCGGGCAGGAACGGCTTGCGGGCCGTCTGAAGCGCGGGCTCTCCAGCAGCTCGTCTCTCGACCGGTGTCTTGGGTCGCAGAGACGACTGCGGGCGGCCATCGGTCCGAGAGGGGGGTCTCTCATATCGAGGAATGGGGGCTTTGGCGGGCGACTGCGGCGTCGCTCGCATGGCCGGCAAGGATCGCTTAAACTTCAGCAGCTGGGAGCTGGTGGTGGTGGGTTCGTTGCGGAGAGAGGCGTGGGATGTAGGCTTGCTCATCTCTCGCCTGCGGGGCGTCGCGGGCTGTAGGAGCTGAATGGGAGAAGGCGTCGTTGGTGTGGGTAGACTGGTGACAGAAGAATGTGACGAGTGACCCATGCGTGACTGCGACCGCCTCGATCTGGACTGAATAGGACCGCCACTCTCCGACACGGGCTCCAAAGATGACTGAGCGCGCTCATGGTTCGGTCTCGGCAGACGTGACTGCACGGGCTTGTTGGTGAAGGTGATGGAGACGGCCGTCTTGGGCCGCGTCGGGCTGGCGGGGCGGTTTGTGTTCATGCGGATGTTACGGTGTAATGTGAGCTTGCCCGAATCAAAGACTTCGCCGTCGCCGAGCTCAAGATCATTAAACATGTCATCCTTGTCGGCTTCGGCTTGGGGAGCGCGCGGTGCGGGCTGACCCTGAGGCGCCTGGACCTGAGGCTGAGGAGTCTTGAGATCGGCAGGCTCCTCTTCCACAGTACGCACAGGCGAGCGGCTCTTTCTGTTTCGCACGAGTCGCTCCTCAAAGTTGACGTGTCCGCTTGGCAGCAGGAGGCCCTCAAAGGTGTCGTCTTCACTCTCGGCAGTGAACGAGCTGGACACGCTGGGGCTGAGGGCGGAAGCCGAGGAGCTTCGGTTGGATCGGCCGTCTCTCCTGGTGCCGCCGAATCGAGTGCCCAAGCTGCCTTCACCCCAGTCCATATCCTCGGCCTGCGTTGCCGGCGTCTTGGGAATGGTCTTACGCGTGGAGAGCTTGAGCTTGCCGTCAGAGGGCAGCTCGAAGTCGCCCTCAAAGTCGTCGTCGGCACCAGCAATCTTGTCCGTCTTCTCCATCTTCTGCGGCGTGGGTGGCGTGATGAGGGAGATGGGCTTGGGTGGGCGGGTCTTGGACACTTTGATGGTAGCGCCTCCGTCACCGAAGAAGTCATCGTCTTCATCATCGTTGTCTTTAAACTTGTCCAGGTTGGCAGCGCCCGACACGACGCTCGACATGGACATGGTAGATTGTCTCCGCTCGTCCTTGCTGATGGACAGACGGACGGCGGCCGACAATTTGGTGGGGCTCGAGTGAGGACCGCTTACTTGCCGCAGGGCGTCGGGGAACTGCGAGGCGTCTTGTGGTTTGATGCGAAGGGCTTGTGCGGAATCCGGCAGCTCGAGATCGTTCTCCCAGTCGTCCTGGATGATCCTCTTAATCTTGCGACCGCCCAGGCGCTTGATCGTGCCGCCCATGAGGGCTGACGAGGGGACGTTTTGCGGGATAGGGATGCCGGCCTTGGTGGCAGCGGCAATGGCGTCGAGGGTCGACCGCTCGTCATCGCCAGGCAGATGCAGCTGCCTCTCGTCGCCGGGTAGTGACTCGAGCTCGGAGCGCAAGGACATGACGGACGAGTGCGAGTCGCGACGGCTCGGCGGTTGGTTGTGCGAATTGGCGGGGCGAAAGGGGGCCTCGCCGGCATCGATCTGGAAGTCGCCATCATCCCAATCCTCAATCTGTTCTTCCACGGGCTGCCGTGGCTTCAAGCGTAATGCCTCCATCGTGGAACAAAGTTTGCTACTGTGGTTTACTGCTGGTTTGCTTCTGTAGTATTCGGTTTGAGGTCGCTGCGCTGGGTGACGTGGTGTGGTCGCTGTCCAGCGAGGACGTCGAGGATCCGACAGCTTTCGTTGTTCACGGAAGGTGCGAGATCATGTCGTCCGCACCAGAGCAGCAATCATCCAAAGGCCGTCGGGGCCTCCTGTCGATTGATTGCTTCGTCTGGATGAGGTCGAAAGGTGTCGCAACGGAGAGTTGAGAAGGGTTTGTGTGAGGCCGCAAAAGGTGGCCGGATGCGAAAAATGGCGGGTGGCTGGGAGTGGGTTGAGGGTTGAGGGTTTTCGGGCTGGTTGCAGGAGCGGCAGGAGCAGGACAGCACAGTCGTCGGTTAATTTGTTCCGTTGGTGCACGTCGTAAATTTTCGTTCAGGGGTGGGCGATGCGAAGTCGAGATTCTATCGTAGTAAAGTTCACGAGGCGAAGAAGAGAGGTTTTCGGATTGAGTATACGGAGTGGTAGCGGTTCGCAGTGGATGACGTTGGGTGATAGGTAGGTGGCGGGCGGGTGGTGTGGGTGAGGTATCGTCAAATGCTGGAGCATGCCACGAGATGGTCGGGAAGGGGGGACTGGATGCATGGAGGATGCGAAAATCAGGGCTGAGCAGGCGGGCGATTGGGGGCTGGGGATGACCCTACTCCTCTGGGGACCTCACCTAAGGCACCTACCTAGCTCGCGTGCCTTTGCTGTCTACGGCGGTAGGTCCCTCTTCTGTGCTGGGTCCTGATGAGGTGGCCGCGGGGCACGGTCGTTTTAGTGCTCAATGTGCTGTTTAGGCGGGGCCTTTGCGGGTGGCTGGCGAGTGAAAGGCCATGTTGGCGAGACATGACGGCAGGGGGGGGGGGGAAGCCCCTCTAGACTGGACAGGTGGACAGGTGGACAGGGACATGATGCAGTCCAGGCCGGCAAGTCACGTGGCTCAACGGAGCTTGCATTCCACCACTGATTGGGCCAAGCCAGCCAGCACAGACACGACCTTGACGCGTCGGGGTCGCGCTGTTCTGGGAGGTACCCAGGCTTGCTCTGCTAGGCTGGCTCTGCTGGCCAGGCGTGCCGGGTACTTTCCCAGGTGCCCTAGCCTACAGGTACACCTGACAACATGTGCGTAGGTACCTCCCTGAGTAGGTGCTTAGGTACCTTACCTTGCTCACCTACCTTAGGTAGGTACCACCAGCCTACACTCCCGACAACCTGTCATCACGACCACATTACCTTTTGAGGCACCTAGAAGACGAGGTCCGAGAAGAGGAGACCTCGCTCCTCAAGGCCTAGCCCTTCTCCGTCTGGCCTGGTACAGTCTCACCAGCCACGTTGCACATGAGCACCCCCTCTGCAGTACTTGCAAGGACGTAGGACGCGGAACATTGTCTAACCTGTCGATCGGTCGATTGGCCCCCGTGTTTGCCTGGAGATCATCTCCACCACGATCACCACCACCAAGCTACCTACCTCCTTCAGGCAGGCAACTTCATCGTCGCTGGCGTCGCTGGCGCCGCTGGTGCCTATCCTGCCTTCGTTGGCTTTGCTATCCCCTCTGTGGAAACACGCCAGACTGTCTCGAGCTTCAAGCCGTGGGTGCCTAAAAGAAAGAAAGAAAAAACTAAGCAGACTGCTACTTTTTTCACGCGCGACTCATCCACTATCTGTTGGCTGCAGCCCAAAGCACAGACGCTTGTTGCTTCTCTCGGGATTTCTTTATCAAAAGCAAATATCGAGAGATCAATACTCCATCTTTCTTTTTTCTTGCCTTCTTCCTCCAGCTCGGAGCTGCAACCTCTGCCGACGGCCGAGAGCATCCCAGCAAACCTCATCTCCGCGCCCGGCAAACTATCGACTTCGTCATCATCCTGGCACTGATCGACTAGCATCTCTAGCCCTTCCTGTCATCACACCCACGACGACCAGTCCATACTACGAGGACGCCCCGTGTCTTGTTGTCGGCCCGCCGCCGCAACCTGTCGTCCTCGCTCGTTCGATCCGTCAGTTGGGCCTCACCCGCCCGTACAACCCGATTGGTTCTGCGTCAAGTGTTTCACCACGGTGTTGGTGTCCAGCTTTTCTGGGCCGTCTGTTGTTGGTGTTAGTGGTGGTAGGATTGTTGTTGTTGTTGTTGTTGCTGCTGCTGCTGCCGCCACTCTATTGATTCCTCCAGACTTGCGCTGCCTCACTTTCAGAGTTGACACATGGAACCGAGCGACGATCAAGTCACGCATTCAAACCAAGCCAACCTAATTGAAAATGGTCTCCACGGCCTCTGTCCTCCGTTTTCCCCGTTCAGACGAGGAAGGCAGTTTCGTCCTCGTCAACGCAACCCAGACCCGAACGAAACCTCTCGACCTCAAGCTCGTGGGCACGGATGGCCTGGCCCCCTATGTGGCCTCATGTACGTCAAATTCTCTCTCTTCCCCCCTCTCTCTCTCTTCCCCCTTCCCAGTCTTACCCCGCCGATCGCCGCGGCCCGGCCGCAGCCCTGTCTCAGGGCCGCGTGCTTCTCCCACGCCTTCTGCAAGCGTGACGCCTCTCCCCTCCCCGGTCCGGCAGCCCCGATCTGACCAGACATACTTCGTGCAGTGCGTCATGATCGCGTTGCCGCCCTGCTGGTCAAGAACAGCCCCTGCGCCGAAGAGGAGTGGGTCGACATTCTGTCTGGCCTCCTGACGCAGAACCCCGGTAAGGGCGTTGAGGCCATCGCCACGGTGGAGAGCGAGGTCGCCATCACTATCACCGTGAGGCGGCGTGTCAAGGGTATCACGGTATGCCCGCCTTCTCCTCCTCCTCCGTCTGCCCACAAGGCGCCGACCGCTAATTCTTCTTTTCTTAGCAACGCCTGGGCACGCTGGAGCTCAAGCACAATGCCGACGAGGAGATCGAGCTCTTTGATTGGTGCGGCCTCGCGGCAGCTGCCGTCGTGCAGGCCAACGTGACGCTCGCCGCCGTCACGACCAAGCAGACCGAGCTGGAGGCGTCGGTGTGGCAGCTCAAGAGCCAGCTCGACGAGCTCGTCGAGGCGAAGAGGACGGACGAGACGGAACTGCTGCTTAAGTTCGCGACCTGCTCAACGCGAAAAAGGTCAAGATCGCGAGCAGCAGAAGATCCTCGCCGCCGCCGCGTCTGGCGATCCGCCCGCTATCCCCCCGTCACAGACATCACAGCCAGGCAAGGCGGGCCAAGACTGCTGGCCAGGGGCGCACGGCGACCAGGTCACGGGCATCGAAGAGGAAAGCAGCAGCACCCGCGGCGGAGGACGACGACGACGGGTCAGACGACGGGTTTGAGAAGATGGACGTCGACACGGCCGTCAGCAAGGAGGCTGACGCAGAAATGTCTGACCAGCAGCGAGACACGACGGACGATGAAACAGAGACGGCAAGCGAGCATGACGAAGACGAAGACGATGCGGAGGAAGAGGAGACAAAGCCGGCGCAACAACCGGCGAGAGTGCAGGAGGACGATGCGCCGCCGCCTGCGCGAGCCCTGCCGTTCATGAAGAAGACGGCAAAGAAGGCCGCGCCTGCGCCGCCGCCCACTGGTAGCGAGACCGAGTCGGATGATGAATTGTAATGTTATTGGACGGTGGTTTCATGATAATGAAAGATGAAATCACGCGACAGGGATGGCAGTTGGTGCGGTTCTTGCTCCAGATTAGGCTTGCTCAGGGGGACACCCTCGTATGTCATGTCCCCAGATCACGTCGTATGCTCATATGCTTTGCAATATAATAGCACTCTTTGGACCCGTTCACCGGGACCCGGTGGG